ACCAGCACAGCAAGCGCGTGCCTGGGGCAGCAAGCCGCGGGGGGCAGCCTGCCGGTCGCTGTGAGGGCGGCAGTCAGGCTGCCTTCAGCGGCATGCCTGTGGGAGGTCCTCCCGCAGGCATGCCACCTTGGCGTGACCAGCGGACCGTCCACAGGGGCACCGCCGAAAGTCGCCTGACTGCCGTGCTTGGGGCAGCAAAAAACATAGAGCTGCCCCTGCCTGTGCAAGGCTCTAGGTGCCTCTGCCAGCAGACATAGAAACAAAGCCAATTAATCCATGGGACCCAGTGCAAACCCTACCACTGGGAAGCACTGCTGTAATGCCCCACAGATGTTAGTGGAGTTAGTCCTGATATACAGCAGTGCTGAGACCAGCGTCAGGCTCGCTCTGGGGGAGGAGATGGGTGCTGACGGGTTTGAAGGAGGAGAGGCAGCAGGCTGGGCTCACAGGGAGCGGCAAGCTCCGGGCATACAGGGGGGCATGAGAGAAGGCGATAACGAAAGGGGAGCAATCAGGAGAGCGGATGCAGAGACAAGCAGGGCTGGGGGAGGGGTGCAGGCAGGACTGGAGATGTCCAGGGCCTGGAAGGGGAGCATGCGGCATGGGAAGCCAAGCAGCCCCATAACCTTCCTCTGTTTATCCCCCCCTCCCTTAATCCCCCCATCCCTGTTATCTCTTCCAGGGCCCTGTCTCGCCTTGATCGGTATTGCCTGTAATCTCTTCGGAACAGGGACTGTGTCATTACTTACTAGGGGAAGTGCTGCATGCAGCTGTGGAGCGATAGACAAGCGAAGAAGAAGAGAAGCAGGAAAGGGTCTGTGCACGTGTCTCCCTGGGCTAGTGGGCCTGGCAGCAGCCAGCCTCTCCCATCACCAATGTTATTAGGCTGCCCTTCAAGTTCCTCATTAGCAGAAGGGATTGTTGCTGGCTCTCTGTGTTACCATAGTTTGGTATATGTTAATGGAGGGGTCTGGCATTGCTGGCTGTTCTGTTACTGCAGGATCCCAGGGCTGGAATTACTGTATGCTCCTGCCTGGTCCCAGCACTGCTGTAGGTTCCTGGCAATACTGCAATCTTCTGGTGCTCCTGCATGCTACAGGACCCTGGCTGGCATGACTGCAGGCCTCGGGGATTACCACGTCCCAAGTGCCAGTGCTAGGCCCTCTGGTTATTTCAGACTCCTGATCCTGCTGTACATGGTCAGGTGCTGTTAGCATCTAGGAATTTCATCCCCTATCCTGGGTTCTCAAAACTCTTCCTTGCATGCCCACAGCATGTGCTGTGGCCACCACTCGGGAGGACCGGAACTAGCATCCCAGCACAGCCCACTCTCTCCTTTCTGCAAGGCCGAGCAGTGGATGTTGCTATTTCCCACTGCCAAAGCGACAAGCCAAATCTAGAAACTGAAAAGCCACAAAATCCGGAGCTTCTGTCTGCAGACCATGCCGCTGTCTGCCATCCCAAACATCATGACACACCGTGAACTTTGCAAGGCAATGGAGAAGGGGGGGGGGGAGGGGGGGGGGGGGGGGGGGGGGGCAAAGGAACCATTCAGACCCAAACCGACTGTGCTCTCCAGTTACCCAGGAACAGCTGAGAGGCACAACTGAGATGCCATCGCGTCAAGGGATTTAAAGATATACACACACTTTTGGGTGTTCCGAAGGAAGTTGAGATAAAGGTACCAAACTAACCCCTACCACCCTCAACCCCCTTGCAAACTAAAACTTGACATTGGTACACACACAGGTGTGGCTACAGCCTATCTCTGTGGCCACGCCGTCTTGAGGAGTGCTCGCTAAAAGCGTCAAGATCAGTTACAATCGGAATGGGAGACCTCCTAGCTATACCTAGCAGCTGGTGGTCTGTCATGCAATAAGCATCCTTCCCACAGAGTCAGTACTGAATGAATCATCCTTCCCCAGCGCGGTGCTGGCGGGACTGACTGACAGGCAGGCTGCCTTTTGGACGAGATGTAAAACTGATGCCCTGGTCACTTCCACCCCACCTTGGTAGGACGCCCATCACCCCAGAATTGAAGAGCACTTGTAATCATTAAACATGCCATTACACTTTTTGCAAGACTGCTCTTCCTGCTGATCTGGCCCAATTCCAACTTGGCTCATAGCATTCCACCTACCTAAATTCCCACTGTGTTTTCAACTGCCTAGAATGTTCCTCACTTCTTGCCCTACATTATTGGTTTCAGTATTCTTCACTTCCTGTCCTAAATTGTCCCAAAGAGTTGCTATGCAGTGTTAACAGCTGCTGGGTCTCACCTCAGAGGTGGCTGCCTTTCAGTGATAAGTGAGACCATTCCTGTATGTAAAATATACCAAGCCCTTTGGGAGGAAAATTGCCATCTAAGTGCAGCACAGTCTGAGCATCAGAGTCACCTCCTGTGGACTGCCCGCCAACAGAACCATTATTATTACAATCTTCCTGGAATACCTGAGAATTGCCTTTTGCTAATCATATCCCAGATCAGAAGTATGTCAGGTCTCTCACGTACGCCAGAGTAATGGAGCTACTCCTGATTTACACCAAATATACTCATAATTATAGAGACGGGTCTGTCTGGAACCAATAATGCTGCATCCAAGAGCAGTAAAGATGAGCAGAGGAATCTGGATCTGAACGTATTATTTGCTAAGTGACGATGAGGAGCCAAATTCACAGGGCATTGGGAGTCTGAAGTTTGGGTTGCTTCATTGTTGCCTTGAAGTTTGGAGTTAGATCTGGCTCCCATCTGACCCCAAATTCAGGGATGTTTGCATCTGGGGCTTTGGTTCCAGCCCATCACTAGTGGATAATATATAAAATTATACTGAGTATGTAGGATGTCTATAGGCAAAGTACACCACAGACATGAAGGAACTGGTGCCTGTTCAGCCAGTAGATAAATTCCCTGCTGTCTGGTGGTTAAAGTGACTTTGAAAGAGGACTAACAAGCCTCAAAGGTACATAAGGCCCTAACTTCCATTGATCTGGGCCTAAGCTATCACCAGCCACTCCCATCTCTCTTCCTCTAATCTTTCACCTGCTTCTCTGCCTCTTCACTCTGCCAGCTCCCCACAGCCTGAGATATGCAAAATGTTCACAACAAACTGGGAAGTTTCCCTGCATTTAGTCTACTAGACTCATAGAATTTAAGGCCAGAAGGGACCAATATGATCATCTAGTTCTAGTCTGACCTTCAGCACATCGCAGGCCACAGAACCTCACCCACCCACTCCCGCAATAGATCCCTGACTTCTGTCTGAGTCACTGAAATCCTCAAATAATGATTTAAAGACTTCATATTACAGAGAATCTGCCAGTTACATTAGTTTGCATTGTGTTGCAAACCCTGCCCAGGCCTGCCAACTTCAAGGCCCTGAGCCCAGCAAACGTGGACTGGTTCATGTCTCTGCATAGGAATTCAAGGCTGCACTCGGAGGTTCCAGGGCTTGTTTGGCTTGAAATTCAGAGTGAGGCTCAGAGGGTGCAAAGGCAGGTGATTCAAAACCTGCTGTTCCCACGATCTCCCTGTGAAGTGGAACCAATGAGTTTTGCAGGGCTCTCTAATGGCCTTTGTAAAAGAAGGTCAATGAATCTCAGGCCAGGGCCTCGTGGGTAAGTGTCCACACCACAAAAGCCATCCTCATCTCCAATTAGTGCCAATGGGCCCCCTTGTCAGGAATGCCCAGGCTTGAATGGACCATGGAAGCTGAGCTCCCCCCCCATCACTAAAGGTGGTCCCTCGGGATCATAGCTGGGGCCCATTGGTGGAGTAACATGAGGGACGCTTTCATTGCTGCTGCCCGATCTGTTGATGGATGAATACAGGGCCTGTCTGCAGGGCTGTCACTCTTTCACCTTTCACTAGCACCATATTCACAGGAAACACTTTAACAGAGCCCCAGGTGTGACTCACACAGAGCTCCTATGGGGAGACCCCACAGGGGTTACCATGCTAGTAACAAATGCCACCTCTGTTCCTTTATCACCCAGGAAATGGGGGGTCAAACCTTCTAACCTCCACCCCCTCCATTATCCACATGCTTCTGCATCTTGTTTAAATGCCAGTTCCTTGTAGCCATGAGACCAGCTGAGATCTCATCCCCTTGGGAAAACAGACGCCCAGGGCAAAATCACTCTCACACTCTTAGGTCTCAAGGTGAATGCTCTCAGCAAGGCTTCACCCTCTGTCTGCTGCACCAAGCTGGCTCCATGAATGACAGTCAGGCACACGGGAGAGAGGAGGAGGAGGAAGATAAGGATGATGAAGGATTTAACTGGCTGGCTAGTGTATCCCAACCTGATCCATATACCAAGACATATTAGGGAATGGACCCCTCTCTCTGGTTTCAGAGTCCGATGGTATGCAAAATGGGGGTCATCCATGAAGCTCAGGTACAAGCGTCCCCAGTTATCAGCAGCGCTTGGAACATCTCTAACTTCAGCTCCTGTATCAATGGGCTCCACAACCTCTGTCAATGGCAGGCAATTTCCCTGCGGTCCCTGGCTTAGTACAGCTGCTGCTGGCTCAGCCAGAGCCTCACATGGAACAGCTGCTTCCTATGGCCCCAGTTCAATTCCCAGCTGGTGTACAGAGCATGAGGCAAACTCAGCAAGTCTGGCTGTCACGGCAAAGGCTCTGTTAGGTGGGTAAGGCCACATCGCTGTCTGGACACCTGTTGATGTAGACAGCTCAGCTGCACCAAACAAGAACATCTGGGCTGTACCTAGCACACCCAGCAGCATTAAAGTAACTGACCCCAGGCCCGAAAGCTCCGTATCCATTTTAATGCAGCCCCAAATAGCTAACTTTGTGCTGCCCAAAGAGGCAACGTTCCAGTAGAGTATCAGCCGCCAGGGTCTCTGATTTCAGACAATAGCTGTTCTTGGCCCTGCAGCTCCCGTCTCATTCAGAGCCTGCTTCCCCAATCCCAAGTCCCAGTGCCAAGGCTTCCCTGCCACCCCAGACCCCTCCACCATGCACACCCCGTGGCACTTACTGCTGTTGCTGGGGAGCGTCCTGCTGCCGCTGATGCTGCTGGCGGGAGGCGGCGAGATGGATCGGATGGAGGCCGTGTCTTCTTCCTGGGAGCAGCCTGCCTGGATGGCTCGGAGGTAGCTGTGGCTCCGGGAGCGGAAGTAGCTGGGCAGAGGCAGGTCTAGCACCTCCACAGCAGCTGATTCGGCTTCACTGTAGGCTGATTCACACACTGTCTCATACTGGTCGCTCAGCTCTGCCTCCCTTGTCTGCAGGGGAAGAGAGGCAGGGTCAGCTGCCCTCCTATTCAGAACCCGCTCCCTCCCCTCTACTACCTGTAACAACCCTGTCTTGCCGAGTGCATAGCTCTATCAGGGCAGTTTTTATCAAGGTGTGGTATTTATACATGGATTTAATTTTATCTGTAGCAAGGCAGCATGGGGGAGTGGTCAGTGCCAGCGGGGGGACAGGTTCTAAGCCAAAATCTTCCATTCACTGGGATTTTTGGCCTGACACAAGTCACCTATTTGCCGATCTTGCTGGGGTGTTGTGAGACTTAACTCACTGGCCTCTGCAAAGTGATTTGAGATCCTCAGTGGAAGGTCCCAGGGAAGTTCCACGCATTACAAATTATTGTACAGCACCCTGAGTGGCTCAGCAGGGGCATGAAAGGGGTGGGTTACAATTAAATTCCTTGATCAGTGCTCAAAAACCTGCCGAGGTCCCTACCAATGTGCCCGGGGGGGGGGGGGGGGGGGAGTCCCACATCCAGTGATCAGTTTGATCCTGCACCCCTGAGTACCCCTGTAGTGAAGAACTCAGCCCAGTCGGGCCATCAATGGCTAAATGAATAGCTGTGAATAGTCAGGAAGAAGGTGGGGACCTGGAGACCAGGCAGTGCAACCTCTCTGAAGGCTGCTACATTCTCTGCTTCCCATTTCATCACCCCGGCTCTATCCCAGCTGCCCCTGCTTCCTGTATGCCCTGGGCCCATCCCAGGCCGGTATTATCTTGCCCTAGAAGCAGAGAATCATGTCAGATTTTAACTAAGGCGGGGTTCAGATGAAATAAGAGCTGGACTGAAATTAATAAACATACCAATAAATACGGATAAATAGTCAACAAGGTGTTCTGGTCTAACTGCAAGAATAATAGTTCTCTCTCTCTTAGCCCCACCCCTGTAATTTACCTCCACGCCCAACTGTCTACTCTTTCTCACCCTTTTCCCAATGTCTCCTGGGAGTTATTCAAAGTGCCCCCTTCCCTGATCTCCAGGGGTCTGATCAACCCTCACTGGAGCCCCACTGACCTCAGTGGGTACTGGATCAGAAAGGTTGCATGTGAGATGAGGCTCTGGGGTGTTCTCACACCTACACTCAGGCACACCCATTCCCTCTCTCACACACACATGCACAGACATACATTCCAAAGTACACATGCAATCTCATGGATGCTGCTTGGCTCCCATCTTAGCTACAAAGCAAGCTGGGCTGGGAAGATCCACGCTGGAGTTTTGAATGCTGATCATTTTGGCTCTGCCAAATCCAGGACACTGGGATCATGCAAGCACCAGACAATCCATATCCCGAAGTTTTTATCGTGTCAAACGACTGGCTAAAGGGTTGTGACCAAGAAACACAAAGAGACTTTCTCTGAAGATGCATTAGTGGCTTCAGTGTAGCAAAGAATTCACTCCCTGTCCTGACACCAGAGGCTTCTGTAGGACATTTATTGTGTCTCTCCCCCACAACATTTCTCTACCCCTCCCTACAGGCCACTCCCTGATACAGTTGCTTATGACTTGCTGCACCCTCAGACACACGGCCTTTATTAAACTGGTCCAGGGGGAGACATCCATAGAAGGCAACAGAAAAGACATCCACAGGGGGCGACAGGAAAATGTCAGAGGGACGGTACCTGCTCTCCGTGTGTAAATATCTGTGGGATAAATGAGGACTGTCCAAATATCTGGAAGAAAGAGTTGGAGAAGGTTAAAGCACAAGACCCGGGGCCTTGTTAAACACAGTCATTCCACAGGAACTACAGACAGTGGGGGACAAACAGATGTTCCCCCCCAGAACTGCAGCTGCTACCCTCTCTGCTGCCACCTTTCTGGAGATCCCTTGAAGTGTCAGAATAGCAGAAACTGCCTCCTCCTTGCTGGCCGCTAAGATGGCTGCACAAATACAACAAGACAAAGCTCCACGGGACTCTTTCAGGCCACAAAGAAGCTGCTGGACACATTTAGTCTATCATAATACACAGGTGCAAATGCTGAAGGCTCAACAACTACCAGTGACTGTAACGAATGGGACAAAATCCCAGCAGATAACCTGCACCAACAGGCCAGCATCCACAGGAACTCTCTGAGCACAGGAGTAGAGTCAGGACCATTCCCACAGCTGATTGCAACACATGCATGAAGGCTCATCTTCTGGCACCAGCTCAGCCAACGCTTCATATTCTCCTTTCATCCCAAAGCTCTGCCAGATGCAAATCAGCAATCAGATGAGGAGACACTCCATTCTTACCAAGCTGCGCCTGCCCCGAGCATTCGCAGCCCATCTCCTGCCTTTGCTCTGGCATCAGCTCGGTTCCACTGGTGCTAGCAAGAGTGGGAGCGCTGGTGTAGATAGGGAGAGGGTATTTTAATCAGGTCATCACCTAATCCTGCTCAGAACAAGGCTAGACAACAGCCTAAGCCTGGTCTATGCCCATACTACCACCATTGAACCAGTGTTACCACTGCATGGCCTTGCCTGCACTAACCCCCCATATTTCAACAACGGAGCCATGACACAACCGATCCTAGTCAAAGACAAACAGTATTTGCTTCACCTTAAAAAGACAACACGCTGCCTGCTGGAGTGAATGCTGCAAAGACACAAAATGCTGGTTCCTCTATTCTAGTCTATTCGTATGTTGTGCCCATTACCACAGGATCTGAGACCCTACCCAGAATATTGTCTCCAGTAGATACCTTACTACAAGACATGGATCCAAGATGCATCACTGTGAGAATCTGGATTCAGAATCTCCCTAAAGTTAAGAGGGGTCAGATCTGGGGCTTTGGTTTGGCCCGTTAAACAGATGGGGTCAGCTGCAAAATGTGGATGTTCAGAATTTGGAAAGATTCAGGCCTGGATCACTTTCAAATCAGAACTTGGCTGTTAGTACTCATAGCTATAAAGGGCTGAACCAGAAACCAAAATCTGAAGAGCCTCAGACTTTAGGGAAGTTTGGCTATATATCCAAATCTAAATAAAACTCGGCGACTTGGGCTCATCTCTGTTGGCTAGGTGGCAGCCTTGCAAATCAGCATGACATGAGAGACACTGGAATGGAGAGAAACCATTGTCCGCTTCACTGGACAAAGTATGAAAGATGCTTTGGGGAGCTCTTAGAAATGGCCAAAGCGAGGAAGAAAAACCGTGCCCAACTTTGGGAGGACAACAGGCAACATCACAAACAGCCTCACAACCTGCCACCGAATCACACATGGACAAACACACCAGATGGACAGGCTGGGACAAGTCCTGCATTAGCATCAGTGCTTGCTGTGACTTGGGGGGGGTGGGTCAATGGTCTACAGAACCCCATCACTGCTGCAAAACCTGTCTCAAGTTCAGAGGGACAAAGTCAGCCCTTGTTTAGGCAGGTGGAAGTCCAGTGAAGCAACAGAGTTACACCAGGGCTGAGTTTGATCAAGACACTAGGCGTGTTCCCTTTGGTAACATTGGTATCCTTTGTCATGCCAATAAAGCTATGGAAATGGAAGTGAATGTTGTATACTGGGATCTTCCAGCACATCTCAGAGATCATTCATACTTAGTGTCTGGATCAACTCCAAGTGAAGTCCAGGGAAACTCTCCCATTTACTTAATTGGGAGCTGGATTGAGATTTTAGACAGTAACCTTAGTCTGGGGTTGAGCACAAGCTAAGAATTCCCTCTGCCCTACACCCAGCTGTTCCCACTAGAGATCTGGGCTCAGACACAGGGTATGGCTATACTGGAGTTGGAAGGTGCAGTCTCCAACTCAGAACCATAGAAGTGTAGGATTGGAATGTCATCTAGTCCAGTCCCCTGCACTCAAGGCAGGACTACGTAATAGCTAGACAATTCTGACGGGTGTTTGTCTAACCTGTTCTTAAAAACCTCCAATGACAGAGATTCTACAGCCTCCCTAGGCAATTTGTTCTAGTGCTTAACTACCCTGACACTGAAGATTTTCCTAATGTCCAACCTAAACCTCCCTTGCTGCAATTAAAGCCCACTGCTTCTTGTTCTATCCCCAGAAGTTCTCCCTCCTCCTTGTAACAACCTTTTATGTACTTGAAAACGGTTATCATGTCCTCCCTTCAGTCTTCTCTTCTCCAGACTAAACAAACCCAATTTTTTCAATCTTCCCTCATAGGCCATGTTTTTTAGACCTTTAATCATTTTTGTTTCTCTTCTCTGGATTTTCTCCAATTTGTCCACATCTTTCCTGAAATGTGGCACCCAGAACTGGACACAGTACTCCAGTTATCAGCATGGAGTAGAGCAGAAGAATTAATTCTCGTGTCTTGCTTACAATACTCCTGCTAATACATCCCAGAATGATGTTTGGGTTTTTTTGCAACAGTGTTACATTGTTGACTCATATTTAGCTTGTGATCCACTATGACCCCCAGACCCCTTTCCGCAATACTCCTTCCTAGGCAGTCATTTCCCATTTTGTATGTGTGCAACTGATCTCCTAAGTGTAGTATTTTGCATTTGTCCTTATTGAATTTCATCCTATTTACTTCAGACCATTTCTCCAGTTTGTCCAGACCATTTTGAATTTTCTTTCAAAGCACTTGCAACCCCTCCCAGCTTGGTATTGTCTGCACACTTTAGAAGTGTACTCTCTATGCCATTATCCAAATCATTGATGAAGATATTGAACAGACATATCCCTGCTAGCTCTGATCGAGCTAGGCCAATAAAAATAGCCGCAGCGGCATAAGTGGCAGAAGAGGCTAGCTGCCACAAGGGCAAACCTGTCCAAGACACTATGTATATACTCGGAGTGGCTAGCCCCTCCCACCGCTCACCCTACCATGGCTGTACTTCTTTTTTTAAGGCGCAAGCTCAATCAGAGCTAATGTAGAGATGTCTGCCCGAGCTGCAGTGTAGACATCCCCAGAGATTAGTTCACCTATGAAATGAATGTGCTGGTCCCTAGCTAAGTGTCTGGATAGCAAAACACCCAGCACGTTGTTGGTGATCTACAAAGAATAATAATTAACTGTAATAAATACTCCCTGGTGGATAATGTTTGGCCTCTATTTAGCATCTTTCCTTGAGGATCTCAAAGTGCTTTACAAAGATCTATCCCCATTTTACAGATGGAGAAACTGAGAGGTAAAGGAACTACACTCCCAAATCCAAACACCTGGACTGGAGTGTTAAACTTTAGAGTATTGGCCTGTCTTGCTCTCTGGCGCTCACTAGTGGCTGGGAACAGAACTCTGATTTCTTGATGTCCAGCCCCAGGCTCAAATCACTACACCAGGCTGCCTTCACCCAGCACGTGCTATGGCAAACTTGGCAGTGTGTGAGCAGGGCAGGCTCAGGACCAGCATGATGTGTGTGTGTCTGTGTGTGCACGCGTGTAGAGAGACACGGTCTGCTGTTACTGAGGGAGGCCTGGTCTGACTGGGTAAAACAGGCTGGAAAAGGCTAAGGGCTACCTGCCTGTCTAATCTCCAGCAAAGGATTTAAGGGAAGGGCGTGTCCTCTTTCTAAGGGCTGAGATAATGAGTTGTGCCCTGAGGCGAGGGCCTGAAACAGACAGGCCAGGTCTACACCACACACTTGCCTATAGCTAAATCGCTCAGGGGTGTGAAAAATCCACCCCCCGAACGACGTAGTTCTAGCGACTGTAACTCTCCATGTAGACAGAGCTGTGTAGGTGGGAGAGCTTCTCTCGCTGAAATAGCTACCACCTCTTCCGGAGGTGACGTTATGGAGCTGACGGGAGAGCTCTCTCCCCTCCGTTTAGAGCATCTTCACCCTAAGCGCGACAGTGGTGTAGCTGCATCAGTGCAGCTGCGCCAATGTAAGTTGGTACTGCAGACCTGTCCTTAGGCAGAGCACTTACTCTTTCCTGGGCTGGTGAGGGAGCCCACCCGTTTAGACCTGGCCTGCACACAAAGTCGCACCAGTTCCAGGGTTCCATGGTGTGCTCAAGGACACCTCGTTAGGCCTCAGGCCTCCAGCCATCCCCTCTCTGTGGGTGGTGACCCACGTCCCTCTCCCTTCAGACTGGGACTTTGGGCTTGCAGTGCCCCTGCAATTCACTGTGCTTATCCCAGCAGGTCTAACTTTGGTCCAGCGGCTGCCGCTCACTCTCCCCCAGGGACAATGACAATGGTTCCCAGCTTTCACAAAGCACAGTACATTTATTTTAGGACAAAAGCATTACAGAGAAAACAGAGAATAAAACAACAGACAGTCTACACGCATGCTGTGCTTACCAGGGGTTACCCATCTTCCACAGGGAGACCCTAGGAGGTTTCCAGTTTTTCAAACCCTTCCAGCAGGGGGTTGCCCTCCTGGTTACAATCTCATGCCAGTTTGTGGCTCAGAGAGAGCCCCCCACCCCCAGTCAGTTCAGGCTGGCCCTTTTCATCACAAGCTTTTTCTTTGTCTCCTGGTCCTCTTGAACCCAGTCCGAACCAGTCTCTGCAGTTCCCCCGGTCAGTGATACTTCCGAGGAGAGGGAACAGCTCCAAAGATTTGCAGTAATTAACCCCCACTGATTTTGGTTCCTGGAGGATGTTTGGTAGCCTTCACCAATAGAGCTAGAATACAACACCTAGCTCCCAAAGATACAGATACCATTTCCAGATACAAAAGTTTATTACTAATCCTAGTGGCTATGGCATCTGGCACATCTCACTAGAATAGACGTTTCCTCGCTTCCAAGGTCTCGCATCTCTCACAGCATCATCTGAGGCTAGGTCTACACTGGGGGGGGGGGAGGTGTGTCGAGCTAAGATACGCAACTTCAGCTACGCGAATAGCCTAGCTGAAGTCGGCATATCTTAGGTCGATTTACCTGGCCGTGAGGACGGCGGCGAGTCGACGGCTGCCACTCCCCTGTCGACTCTGCTTCCGCCTCTCGCCGAGCTGGAATTCCAGAGTCGACGGCAGAGCAATCGGGGATCGATTTTATTGCGTCTACACTAGACGCGATAAATTGATCCCCGATAGATCGATCACTACCCACCGATCTGGCGGGTAGTGTAGACGTACCCTGAGTTAAAGCCATGCAGTACTGTGTGCAGACACTCTTACATCTGTGTAAACTGGGCTCACTTCAACGTAGGTTGCACCTGTTAATTTGCAAGCTAAATGGATATAAACCAGGTTTAAAGTGCTGCAGAGTGTTCCCACACAAAGCAGCACTGGTTTAATTCAATTGCTGCAACATCACATCTTTAGCTAAACCAGTGCAACTCTGTGTGTAGACAAGCCCTGAGTTGAATTGGCAGAGATCTGCAGACGCCAAGGCCTAGGGCAGCAGCAGGTTTGGTATTTCATCATTAATGTCCATTTGCAGGGCTGTGGTGGGCCCCAGGACTGAAATCCCAGTGCGTAGCTGGGTCTGAATTCAGCAGCATTGGCAGAGCTGTGTGGAGGCCCAGGACTGGAATGGGGGGCTATTACAGATCAGGATTCCAGTGCATTAGCAGAGCTGTTTGCTGGCCTAGCAGGGGGTTACATGCCTGAATTTGGGTGCGCTGGCAATGCTGAAAGAGAGTAGCTTCCCATCAGCTGCATGCACCCTGCTTGGTTTTGTGGCGCAAAGGAAAATCCCTTCCCACCACCCACTCTACTGTCTCCTTCCGCCTACCAGTCCCCTTCCTCTTCCTCTGGGAACACCCCTACCTGCGTCCTGCCCGCCCTGCTGCGGCTGGCTCTGGGTGGAACTGATGCTGCTCACGCTCACCTGGCTGATGCAGCTGGACTCATCGATGTTGTCAGTGAGCTGGTTGTATTCTTCCTCCCAGCTTGGGAACTTTGGAGGTAAGAGGATCTCGACGGAGTCCAGGCGGTCCAGGCTCCTGCGGGGCAAAGGGAGAGAGAGACTGAGAGGAAGCCCCAGCCTAGCAGGCGATGAGCGAGGCAGCCGTGGAGGGCTGGCAAATAACCCTCAGTGCAACCAGCCAAGCCTTCCAGCTGCAGGAAAGGGCAAGTGCTCAGGCTGACGTCGCCCTCTGGCACCCTCCTCTGAGCTCATTTATGCAGTGCAAGGAAATCCAGAAGCCAATCAGGCTCCAAGACTCCAGGGCCCCATATTCAGTGCCGGGAGGACAGGAGAAGAAGGAAGCACCTTGCCAAGCTTTTGAGAGCTGCCTGAGGCTTGGCTAAGCTGAGTTCGGGCAGACGGACCCACAGCTGGCACAGAGGTGAGGCCTTTCAGGCTGTTGAAATGAAAGGGTGGGGGGAGAGGATGGATGCCAGACACCCCTCCCCATCACTGTCCCCCAAATTAAACCAGCCCATGGGGGGGGGGGGGGGTTAGCCTAGGCGCTGACTGCTGCACTGGACTCTCCTCCACTCTGCGGGACAGCATGAACAGCAAGCATCAGACACAAAGGCAGCGTGGGCCAGTGGCTAGGGCGTGAGACTGGGAGTCAGGCAACCTGGGGTCTTTTCCTAGCTGTGTTACTGCTGGCCTAGGCAAGTCACCTCCCAGCTCTCGGCCTCTTCTCTGCCTTTAGACTGCAACTGGGGCTGGTCAGCAAGAGGGGGTTTGATGGAAAATGGCTTATTCCATGAAATTCCTGAGCGGTTCTAATCACCAACTCTTCTGGGCAGGGCCTCACTGTGTGTGCACAGCACCTAGCACTGGCACCGCGAGGGAACTGCTGTAACACACAGCATAAAATGGGCCCCGTGGCACTCCGGTTACCCAGTGCCATACACACTGCTTATCAGCTTTTGAACCCTGTTATAGTCTTGGCCTTCCCAACATCCTCTGGCAAAAAGTTCCACAGGGACTCTCTTGGGACATTGGTTTATACCAGGGGTAGGCAATCTATGGCACACGTGCCAAAGGTGGCATGCGAACTGATTTTCAGTGGCACTCACACTGCCCGGGTCCTGGCCACCGGTCCGGGGGGGCTCTGCATTTTAATTTAATTTTAAATGAAGCTTCTTAAACATTTTAAAAACCTTATTTACTTTACATACAACAATAGTTTAATTATATATTATAGATGTATAGAAAGAGACCTTCTAAAAACGTTAAAATGTATGACTGGCACGCGAAACCTTAAATCAGAGTGAATAAATGAAGACTCGACACACCACTTCTGAAAGGTTGCCGACCCCTGGTTTATACAGACATATACACCTGGCCAGGATAACCCTGAATGGCCACTGGGTGGCAATACTGCTCCATAGAATGGCACCTCAGGCACTGCCGGGCCCGCTGAAGCTGCGGGGAAGCGCAGAGGTCTAAGCCCTTCCCATGCAGTGACCCCTAGAGCCTGCAATGCAGGACGCTCCGCTGCAGGCCTGGGAAAGTGGGCAGCTGGGTTCGCTCTGCCAGCCTCTGTGCAGCCACCAGCACGTAACTCAGGGCCTCTTCCAAGAATCCAAGAAACAAACTGGGCCTGGACCTGCTCCCGCTGGAGTCCATGACCAACCTTGCCATTGAGGGCCCCGGTCCAAAAGCCCTCTGACATCAACAGGAGTCTTCTCATTGACTCCAATGAGCTTTGAATCTGGCCCCGATGCCCCTCATCCTGATGTGACCGCCTGTCATGGAGGTCAATGTAATCCCCTCTCTTCCGGTCAGGGTTCGGATGAGTAGCCCAGCCCCCCAGCAGGGTACTTTGGCAGGTGTTTGTATCCAGCCAACTAATGAGGTGCTGATTGGCCCGAGTAACGAAGGGTCCTGTGGCTGTTTATCCATCACTCCTCACTCATTCTGCTGCCAAACAGATCGCTAGGGAAATGAGCTGGGAAAGGAGGCCACAGGGGGATTTAATACTGTCCCCTTACACTGACTCCGGGCTTGTCAGATGCACCAATAAAAAGTAACAGCAACGTTACCCCCTCACGGTTCCCCTCCAACACTCCCCATCACCTACCCAGGCTGACCGCCTACAAGGAGAGAGAGCTGGGCCCAAATCTGATGGGTGGTTTACTCAGTCAGTGCTTCCTTAGGCAAATCTCCCTTGGAGGGGCTTGCCTGAGTGTGGACGGCAGGGTTAGACTTCACGCGGTGCCCTGGAAGTTAACAGCCTTGGGCTCCTGTTGGACCAACAGAGGAGGCAAGTGCCAGTCGAGGGCCCTGCCCAAGACAGCCCAGCCCAGATGGTGGGAACCCACTGGCTGACCTCAGGTGGCCTGCAGGGAGCGGCGTCCCTTCCCTCCGCACTACTGTGTTTGGCACTTTCATCAAGCTGCTGAGATGACTCTGCCCAAGGGGGCTCTCTCCAGCTGTCTGGGGAACATGGATACCTCTCTTTGCTGGAGCAGGAGTAGTGTGATGGGTAGGAGCAGTGTCAGGAGAATTAGCAGCAGCATTTTGCGCATGCATAGCGCCTTCCACTCCAGGATCCCCATGCACTTTATCCACACTCCCCCCCCACCCCCCAATGAGGAAGGTCAATACTATTAAGACTATTTTGCCATTGGGGAAACTGAGGCAGAATGTGGGCAAGCGCTTTGCCCAGAGCCACACAGTGAGTCTGTAGCAGAGCGGAGAATAGAACCCAGGAGACTTGACTCACTGTTCTGCACCTCCGTTCAATCTATCAAGATACCGAGGTTCCTCATCTCCCTATTTCTACTTGGACTCCTCCTCTGTACCCCAGTACTGCCGGTCAGATCCCCCTTTATCTTGGCCAACACTGGAGACTCAACCCGCTGGCTTTGCTGCAGATAAACAGTCTCATCCATTGGCCTTTTCACCAAGCACAGGCCAGTTCTAATGGGCAACTCCAGGAAGGTTTCCCCACAGCTGGTGAGAATCCCTGAATGGGCAGGAGCAGCAGCAGGTGCTATTGATGCTTGTTGGCCAGTCTGGATCTGAACGGCCCACTCCTGATAAGTGACGGACACTAAACAGGCGGCACCTAAAAATAACTGGAGGTGATGGGAAAGCAAGGAGGAGCCACCAGCAGATGGCGCTAGGCCTCACATTGTTGCTACGAGAGGGTGGATTTCTCTATTCACCAGTTAGTCCTGTGGCAGCCCTTCATCTGGGTGGGGTGTTTTATTTAGTCTGGATATGTGCAGTTTGTGCCCAGATCTTCCTAATTCTCTTGCCCACTTGGGAATGAGGGAGCAGGGCAAAGGTCAGAAGAACAGAGCTAGGCACAGGACAGAACGTGGGGCGTGTGACTTTATTCACTCAGGTACAGGAGTTAGAGAGGGAAGACACCTAGGGCTAGGCTACACTAGAAGTGCTACGGCTGTCCCGGTGCAGCTGGGTCACTGTAGCACGTCTGGTGAAAACGCTCTTCTGTTGGCATAATAACTCCACCTCTGCGAGAGGGGCTAGCGCTGTCCACGCCAGCGCTTAGATCAGTGTAACTTACGTCACTCAGGGGTTGGCTTATTCACACCCCTGTGTGACATAAGTTACACCAACCTAACCTGTAGTGTAGACAAGCCCCTCTTCACCCCCCTCTAGTCCAGTCTCCTAGGGCCAGTGCACAGGGTCTCTATAGTGCAGTGTAGTCATAGCCGGGCCAGTCCCTGTTATGCCCAGCCCTGAAGAAGAGCTCTGTGGCTCGAAAGCTTGTCTCTCCCCCCAACAGAAGCTGGTCCAACAAAAGATATCACCTCCTCCACCTTGTCTCTCTAATGGTCCCTACAGCACGTTTCCTAGTGCTTTGGCTTACCCACCCCAAGCGATAGGACGTGCACTGCTCCCCTCGGCACACTAGTGCGCAGCCTGATAGAGCTCACTGCCTGAGAGCCAGGCAACACTTTCCTTGGCTTAATGTCATCCTATGCCTCCAAATAACTCCTCCCTGCTCCTCGCTGGCCTTATGGAAAGCAGCTCTCTTGCTTCCCCTTTGTCATCCCTTGGCCATGCTGGATGTATTTCGCTCTTTTGATCTCGCCTCCTAAGTCACGGCATCGCTGAACTCCCCCCAGCTTGTCCACTTTTTCCTGGGACTGAGGTGTGCAGAGCTGAATGCGATACCCGAGGGCTGGACGCCCCAGAGATGTGCAGGGCCTGGTTCTCCTCTCCTAGGCTGCTGTGAATCAGGAGAACCCGTATGGAAGTCACTGGGTTCACAATGGTGCAGTAAGAGGAGAGCCAAGCCCCTGGACAGGGGCCGTTACCTCCCTGTTTGGTGACCAGATGCTCTCACAATGTCACCCTCCAAACCGTGTTCTTGTTCCCACCATATCATGTGGCAAAGCTGCATCTCATTTGCAATCCACTACTGCGCCGAGGTCTCTGCGCATTGCTGCTCCCCAGTGCTCCCCGCCCTGCTGGCATCTCTGATTACTTCCCCCCGGACATATTAGCTTGTATTATTTCAAGCCAAATCACATTCGGTTAATTTCCTGTCTCCACGTCTACCCCCTCCTGGTCCCTTTGTGCTCGCTCTCTGTCCTCACTGGAGTTGGCAGTGTCTCCTCTGTGAATTTCAATCCAGTGCTGTTAAAGGGCTTGGGGAAATCAGCACCAGGACAGCTAGTCGGGGGAGAGCCCACGGGCTGCTGGGGGAGCCAGGGTGGATGTTTACAGGGTGGATGTAGCAGCACCTGCCCCATATACAGGTGGGGCCTCCCTACCTCTCACTCTCCCTTGCTACGCTCCAGTTGCTTCACTTTCTGGATCCCAGACAGCTGGTACCTCCCGCTCACCCCCTTGGCTCCCCTCTCCTGGTCTCATCTTTTCTTGCTGTTGTCCTCCACCCAGCTTGGCAACCCACCCAGTCCCCTATCCCATACCATGCACCTTGTTGCCGGTGCCTTTCACTTACAGATGCTCCCCAGAATCCTTCGGATTAGCTGCAGTACCACATCAAAGGAGGTGCCCCGGTGCAAAGGGATTCTGGGATCCAAAGGCCAGCATATGAATGTAAACATGTGGCCATGCTGGGAGACACCCGGCTACAAGTCACCTTCCATGTCTAAGCAGCTTCGCCTTGTTTAAGCTTCACTCCTCTTTAAGAGCCAGATCCTCTTAGGTGTAAACCAGTGTAGCTTCACTGAAGGCAAGGTACACCGTCTCATGACCTGTCCCTATGTCTTTTCCTACTCTCCGAACCAACGTTGTGGGGATAGAGATCCTGTGCAATTTCACACACCTAGGGTTAGTTTAGAATGACTGGGGAACAACCAACCACTCCATTCCTCCACCTTATCTTCATCTTCCCCATTTTTCTCCTCTCGCTCCCTGCTTCCCAACCTCCCTCTCCCAGGATGCCCAACCTCTGCCCAAATGAGGGCAGCATTGATAACGTCCCATGAGGCTGAAGGTCACACTCAGCTGGAAAAAATGAAGGAGATGGCACCCCAACCCATTTTCAACATGGATGCTGGAAGGCCCAGCATGCAATGCTCCAGGTTAGATATGGATGCCATCATTAGAATTCCTTGGACCACCCTGGGATTGACACTGGAGCACCTGGGTGCAAAGGAGCCCTGAGCTAGTTACCTGTGTGCGGTGCTCTGCTCACTCAGGGACTGTTGGGTGGCCTTGAGGTAACTCTGCCTCCGAGCTGCAGTTTTCGGGGACGGTTTGGGGCTGGTTTCTGAATCTTCGCTGTCGTCGTCCCCCATGGCTTTGATGTAGCTCCCGCTCCGCATGCGCCGGCACGGGATCTCGTTGTCTTTGTCCCGAGACAGCGTATTGTTCCACTCTCCCTGAGGCACCTGGAAGAACAATGCAGCACCTTGACGGTCTGTGTCTAGGAAGGAAGGAACCTCTGGGAGGAAGAGGAACATGGGAGTTGGAGGAACCATAGCAGGCCCCTCAAGTCCGGTATCCTGGCTCCAGCCATGGCTAATAGCTGATGCATCAGAGGAATGGAGAAAACCCCACATACTAATATGTACCTGGCCAGCTATGCTATGTTGTGCATGGGCAAAACAAGTCCTTTCTGACTCCTAGGCCTGGTCTACACTAACCCCCCAAGTCGAAGTAAGGTACGCAACTTCAGCTACGTGAATAACGTAGCTGAAGTCGACATACCTTACTTCGAACTTACCGCGGTTCAGACGCGGTCCACATGCGGCAGGCAGGCTCCCCCGTCGACTCAGGGGTACTCCTCTCGTTGAGCTGGAGTATCGCAGTCGACGGCGAGCACTTCCTGGTTCGATTTATCGCGTCCAGACCAGACGCGATAAATCGAACCAGGAAGTTCGATTTCCAGCCGCTGAACTAGCGGCTAAGTATAGACCAGCCCCTAGAGTCATCACCTTATGCCATGAAGCATGAAGTTTGATTACGCATGTCTTAGCATGTAGCATTACACCAGTTAGCCAGCCCTTCCTTAAGCCCAGCTACCTGACTTTCTGAGGGAGAAAATGCTGCAGGCTGGCCTCACACTGCAGATGAGATTCACCCTTGTGCAACAGGCCAGCACCTCCTGAGTCCCACCGGAGCCTGATTGGGTTAGCATGGTGTGCAGAGATTGTGCTGGGCCCTCAGTGCCTGGGTGAATTGCAGCTAGGCTGAAAAAATGGTTTGCTTTTATGAATACTGCATGTCCTGGCCACTGATTTAATGGAGTGATGCTCTCTTGTTCTCTTGCTCTGGGACTGGATACAGGGCTGTAGAGGTCTTCACCAACAGTCCTGAATTGGCAACTAATGCTTGATTCATGGAGCTGTCAGTGGACTAAAACCTGAGATGAGACAGATGCAAGGAGAATAAAGGCCATTGGCTTAGGGGGATCTCACTTTCTAATATCCCCTAACAATCACAGATTTCCAGCTGAAAGGCTCAGTTCTGCCATCTTTAGGTTGATTAATACCTTACTAGACAAACAGTCCCACTGAAATCAATGGGGGTAAGGGAGGCTGAATTGGACTTGAGAGCTCCTGATGGCGGCCAAAGCCTTCTAACAAGGAAAACTATGGGGCTTACTAGACAGAGAAGGGTGGTCCTGTGGATAAGGCACTGGCCTTGGACTCAGGACACCTGGATTCAATTTCCTGCTGTACCACAGACTTCCTGCATCACCTTGGGCAAGTCACTTTGTGTCTCAGTTCCTCACCTGTAACATTTCCCCATCCTTTGTCTTTCCTTTTGATTGCAAGCTCTTTGGGGTGTACTTGCAGTGTGTACTTGCAGCACCCAGGACAATGGGGCTCTGGTGTTCTGGGGGGCTGCTACGTGCTACCACAATGTAAATAAAGAATAGATTGGACATGGGCCGAGGAGCCAGGAACTCCTGAGTTCGGACTCCAGCTCTTCCTTACAGAAATGTGCATGACCGTAACCTTCTCAAGCCCTACAGGCAGCATTGCTGCTGCTGTAAGCTCCTGGGCTGGGACCAGTACTGGAGAGTAGTGAAGTGCTGCCATTGGCCTTGTGCAAGTCACTGCACCTGAGCTGGTGAGTCTGCCTCTGTAGAAGAGTGAGTCCTATTTACCTACCTCCAGGCTGCTGGGAGGATTAAGCAGTTAATGTTTGCTCAGTAATTGGAAATGCCAAGTGAGGTATCATGGCTAAGTGCTGTCAAACCGAAGGGCTAATCTGAAGCAACGCTCCTTTTCTTGTTTGCATCCTCCAATCCAAAAGCCTCGCTGCAGGAGAATGAGCTTTTCTCTTGAGATCCCCTAGGGATGTTTGTGTGCTCTAATCAATACCTGTGACACAGGAGTTCTCAACGTGGGGCCATGAACAGGCACGGGGGTCACAGCCACCCCGTCCTCCCCATACTGCTAAACAGGACGGGGGAATCCTGGGGTGGGAAGGTTTGAGAGCTGCTGTTTTAACCAAGCGCTGATGCCATTTGCTAGGGCAGCATTGCTACTGTTGGCATTTTCTCACTCCCCTTTGTGACCACAAGCAGCTGGGTTCCTAGTCAGGCAGCATGCCAGGCTCACTATCTTTTTTTACTGAAAAACCAGACTGAGCCCTGGCGTGGCCCCTTTGGGTAGCCGGTGGGAACTCAGGGGCCTTATGGAGAGCAACAAGCTTAAGGGGGAAAGAGAACCGAGATAGGGACTCAGGAATTGTCAGAGCAGATCAGTCCAATGGCCCATCTCGGCTGGATCTGGTGTCCAAAGACCAGCTGCCTTCAAGAAAAGGGAAGATGCAGGCAGGGCCGTCCTTAGCCATAGGCAGAACAAGCAGCCGCCTAGGGCACCACGCTACCTGGGGGCACCGCTCTACACGGAGCCCGGACAGACGGGAAGCAGTGGAGCATGTAAGAGCAGGGCTGCTGGGTCCTAGAGAGAGCCGAATGCAGCACAGTCTGAGGGAGGGGATTGGCTGCTGGGGTCTCTGGGAAGGGTAGGGGTACGGGTGGGGGAAGGAACTCACCTGTGAGTGTGACTTTCCCCCAGCGTGAGGTGAGGCAGGCTCAGCGGCTCTGGCACCAGTATCCTTTGTTGTCCCCCATAACGTCCATTCTTCTCCCCCCCCCCAAGGAGCACCCCTCTCTCTCTCTTCCCCCTCCCCTCCGGCAGGGCTGGGTTGGGTGAGGTGCTCGGGGGCGGGGGAAGGAATGAAAGTGAAAGTAACTCACTTCCTCAGCAGCCAGCCAGGATTGGAATGGTCACACACGGCTGGGCTGGGGATAGGGTGACCAGATAGCATGTGCGAACAATCAGGATGGGGGTTGGGGTAGGGTGAGCAGATGTCCCACTTTTATAGGGACAGTCCCAATTTTTGGGTCTTTTTCTTATATAGGCTCCTATTACCCCCCCACCCCCTGTCCTGATTTTTCACACTTGCTGTTTGGTCACCCTAGGTGGGAGTAATTGGTGCCTATATAAGACAAAGCCCCAAATATCAGGACTGGCCCTATAAAATCAGGACATCTGGTCACCCTAGCTGGGGAGCATGTCTCTCCCCTGGGCTGGCAGCGATCCATCTCATCCGGGGGGAGCTGCACAGGGCAGGATGAACTGCTGTGGCTCCATGGGTGCCCTGTCCCTGAGATCAGATGCTGTGCTAACTTCACCATGGTCCATTGGGCTGGCGATGGTGCCCATTGGTGTGTGATCGGACCTGAGGGTTTTCTGCTGCTGTTGCTACTATGCACCCCAAGAGGTGGATTTCGGGGTCCTGCAGTTTTCCACCTATCTCCTCCTCTACTGCAGCTGTTGGACCAGCAGGCTGGGGGGTGAGCCAAGCATGAAAGCAGTATTGTGTTGCTATTTAGATTGTCATTTAACAACTTTGTTTGCCAAAAATGCTTGCTAACAATCCTGAATTCAATTTCAATATTTTTTTTAAAAAAATCAATATCTTAGCCAAAAACAGAAAATTAAGTTGTTGACAATTATTTGTGACAAGTTTGGTATGGGGCAGGGAGTGGGCCAGTTTTCATCAAAGAAACAAAAAATGTTGACTGACTTTCCTATAGCCCTGTTACTGCTAAATAGAGCCCTCCAACAACTGTAATATGCTCATCTCCTTACTAGTGTATAGAGCAGGGGTCGGCAACCTACGGCATACGTGCCAAAGGTGGCATGTGAGCTGATTTTTGATGGCACGCAGCGGTGGGCTGAGTGGCTCAGCCCACCTCTGCTCTGGGGTTCCGGCTGCTGCCCCATAGCTCAAGGTCACAGTGCAAGAACCTAGAGAGCCTCCTGAAGCATGGTGATAGTTTTGATTTAAATGGACTTGAACTGAACGAAGATTTGAGTACACTGTCACCAATGTTGCCACATGCAAAATCAGTGATGGACATTGTACAGTCTATTCATACCACCAAACTTGTTGACATGTATCCTAATGTATACATTGCCACTCATATTCTACTGACAATTCCTGTAACAGTAGCATCAGGAGAACGGAGTTTCTCAAAACTAAAGCTCATTAAAAACTATCTCCGCTCTACAATGAGTCAGGAACACTTGACTGGTCTTGTTATTCTTGCAATCGAACAAGACATCACTTTGTCTTTGTCATACAATGACATTATTACTGATTTTGCAGCCAAGAAAGCCAGAAAGATTGCTTTTAATTAAAAACAAATCCTTGTTTCAATACCTCTTCATATAAATTTCCAATAAAATGTTGACAAATTTAAAAAATTATATTATTTGCATCATTCTGTCAAATCAGAATTTTTTCTATAGCACTACTTCTTTAGTGCTAGTCCATCAGCATTACAGTATGCTTAATTAAGTTAAACTGGGTTTAATAACGTGCATGTGGCAAGTTTTCCAATACTGTAAGCTTATGTTTGTGTTGTTAAGAGCAAGTCAGGCACAGGGGCACCAGTTTAATAATCCCGCCTAGGGCACCATAAATCCTAAGGACAGCCCTGGATGCAGGAAAGCTCCAAATGGCCCAGGATGCATTAAGTTGACCTTGGGGCACTGCTGCCTGCCCCCGGCAGTTAGCAAGTGGCCTATGCCTGGTGCAGGAGGGTGGAGATTGTTATGGGGCAGATGTTATGGGGTACTATTATCACCCATATGCAGTCTAATCCCTGGCGTGTCTCTTTACAGCTGGGTAAAGGGCACCCCAGGCCCAGCACAGCGTGTCAGTGCAGAAGGCTGCGTTGGACCCAAATCATTGGGAGGGTTGGGCTGGATAATGCCCCATGAGGTGCCCCACAGCTTCTACTGGGGGCTCCGGCTGAAATCCCAGCAGAGTCACTGGCAAAACTCCCATGAAATCCAGCCCAGCCAGGCCCAATCCCTGAGGGGGTGCGCAGGCCCCGGCAGTTATTCCGTGCTGGGTCCCT